AGGCCCTACGGCCCAGACTGCCAGGAGAGGACAGAGGGAATAGCAGCAGGGCAGCGGGGCAGCCCTGAGTACCTACCCTGGAAGACGTCTTCCTGCTGCCCACACCCTCCCAATATCTCAGGAAAGCCCCCTTCCAGCCTGGGTCCCACAGGCCCTGCCCCTGCCCTGGGCCACAAAGATGCCCCCAAACATCCTCATCTTAGGCCCCCCAGGAGTAAGCCAGCCTTGCACCCTTGCCCAGAGCCCAGCTGTGTGTGCCCCGTGGACACAGGCCTCTCCATCAGACTGGATGTCACGGGCCTCCCTCATCAGACTGGACGGCCCCACTGGGTTTGGGAGACAGGAAAAGGAGATCAGCCTCATGTCCCGGTTCTGGTCACTTGTACATTCTGTCCACAAATGTGCTGGCCCATCTACTTTCCAGGTTGACCCACTACTCCCCCAAGCACGAGCATACAGACATTACTGCATCTGTTTTAGAGACCAGAAGTAGTTAATCCAGGGGCAAACCCAAGGTTCCAACCTGGACCCATCAGAAGTCCCAGCAGTGGCCCAAACTGGATTCTGCAGTGGCCCTGGCAGGGCATCTGAGGAGAGGTCCCTGTGAGCCTCACAAGCCATCACCCCACCTCCCAGGAGACTTTACCTCCCAGGATGACTGGACTGGCTGGAAATAGGGTGGGAAGGGAGGCACAGTCTTCCCCAGGAAGTCTGAGGAGCTGGTGATTGGTGTTCTCAGGCCTCAGAGGGGTTAGGAGGAGCCCCAGGAGATGGGCACATATTGGCATCTGCCCCACTTGGAGCCAGAGTGAGGAATGATAGGGGAAGCGTGGAGAAATGCCAGGCCAGGCTGGGGAGCCATGTGTGGCTCAGGACAGATGGAGGAGGGACCCATGCGGCCTGGACCCACAGCCAAGTGACGCAAGGGCGTGCCTTCCTGAGCTGGATCCCTCGTCATGGGCAGTGGAGAGTCTGATGCCGGGTTCCCTCCTCCCTCAGACTAGTAGCTCTGTGAGGGCTGAGAGCAAGGCCACGTCACCCTGGCACCAGGGGCTCCCCAAGGGCAGAGTTTACATGCCCCTCGCTGAGCAATGAACTCCCCAGAGCCTTTATAATCTCTTTGGATCCTGCCCAAAATTATCCCATCCCCCAGGGCACAAGGCCCTTACTCACTGCCATCCACACCTCCACCTGGGGCCACTCTTGGGGATCACTGTTTCCTCTCTGCCACTTTCCTCCTCCAGAGTTGCCTCTGTCCCCTCTCGTCCCTGCACACACTCCATCAAGCACTGCCTTTGCCTTGCATCTTCCATTCTCTTCCCTACCCTCCTCTGCCCCCACATCCTGGTGGATGACGTCCTGTGATCTCTGAAGTCTGGGATTGCCATGGCAATCCCTCGAGCCGAGCCGCTCTCCCTGGCCATTCTTCCTAACTGCCCTCACCCCTTCATGATGTAGGTGAGACCCACTCACTCTGGGAAAGCCATGCACAGAACACAGTCACTTTCCTCACTCTAGAGTTTGTACAATGCTCTGCCCTGCCTGGGCCAGCCGGGGCCCCATTCATTCTTCCCACCAAAGCCACCCGGCAGACCTCTGGTCTCTGATCCTCTTAGAAACACATCCTTCCAGCCTGGAACCTCCCTCCACCCCCTCAGGCCTTCCTGCACATCTGCAAAGCCTGGGGATGACAGCACAGAAGTCTAATCCCCAGGAGGTGGCTCAGCTATTTATTACTGCTGCATAACAAACATGCCAAACCTTAGAGCTTTAACCACAGCGGCCATACTTTCATTCACAGCTCTGTAAATCAAGGCAGAGGTGGCTTCTCTCTACCCATTGCTGTGGTTCACTGGGGACCAGGGAATCCAGTGACCTCCATCACATGTCTGGGGCCTCAGCTTGGGGCAGATGGAACAGTTGGGGGGGCTTGTTGACAGCTCTGTCAGACAGACAGACAGCTCTGTATGTCTGTCTCTCTCTCTCTCTAGCAAAGTAGTTAAACTTCCTTATAGCATGGCACCAAGAGGGCAAAAATAGAAGCTACGATGCTTCTTAAGGCCTGAGGGTCCAAGAGCCTCTCTTCTGCCACCTCCCTCATTAGAGCAAGTCCTAAGTCTAGCCAAGGTTCAGAGGAGGAAGCCAAGCTCCTTTCTGCACTGAGAGGAATGATGTGGTGGGGAGGAATGGAAGGAATTGCTGGCAGCCAGATTGGCACACAGGCCACCACCATGGTCCTAACCTGTGCTGTGGACCCAGAGTGACCAAGTTCTGTATGGATCCACCCAAGCCCCTGTGCAGGAGGAGCAGTGAGAGGGAGGTGAATGGTGGTGGCAGTGGGGCTCCCAGGAGAATCCAGGACTCTGAAGGCCTTGGAGGGCTGTGACCAGAGTGGTAGATCCTTGGGGCAGAGAGAAAGGGATCAGGGAGAGCAGTACTGACAATAGGGTGGGCCATGGGCCTGGATCGGGGCTTCTCTAGGCTTTGAGAGACCTTCAGGAAGGCCCTGGGATGGAGGACCTGCAGGAGTCTGATACAACTGGGGTGCAACATTTTCATCTCCTTTTCTCCGTGGTCTGTTTAAGACTGTCTGTCCTCGGAGGCCGTATGTTGCAATCTCTTGCAAACTTAGGTTTTGGATCACCCCTCACCAAGCGCTCCCATCCCAGACAGCCCCTGCCTTGCCTTTCTTTACCCAGGGTTGGGAAGTCAGATTTCAGCCCTGGGCCTGGGCATCCTCCCCCTGTCCCACTTTCCTCTGCCTGTTTTTCTCAGTCTAGACGACTCATTCTTATTTGTTAATGTCCTGCCCTAGCCTGGGGCAGCTGTGGTGTGGTGAAAAGAGCACTAGAGTTGGAGTCAGGAAAGCTGGTTTAAATTCCAGCTGGGCCATGTACTGCTTTTGTGTAACTTTGGGCCAGTTATCCACCCTCCCCAGGACTCCCGCTTTTTGCCCGCCGAGAAATAATAAATACTGAGCCCCATCTCCAGCCCTGTCTCCTGGCAGCTGGCAAAGGGACCCTCTGCTCTGCACCCACACCAGCCGACTGCACTGACTTCTAGCAGGGCCTTGCTGGAGTCCTACCTGTCCATCACGCTGGCCACCAACCTCTCCTGACATCGCCGCAGAAATCTGGTACCATCTCAGCTCCAGGCTGCAGTTTTGACAATGTTAGCCATCCGACAAATGTTTACTGAACACATATTATACTCAGGACTGTTCTAGGAGCTGCAGACACAGAGAACAAAACAGACACAAATCTCTGCTCAGGGTGCTCACTATCTGGTAGGGGAGACAGGCAAAAGGTGTATGCAGTTCATTTGAGAGCTACACAGTCCAAAGTGGTCACCACCAGCCACGTGTATTCATCAAGGTCTTAAAACACAGCTATAACCATTTGGGAGATGTTGTAAGTATAAAGTTCATACCATGTTTGAAAATTGAGTACCAAAAAAAAAATAAAACGTCCCTCTAATAATTTTCTTATTGATTAAATATTGAAATGATATTTTAGTTATGTTGGGGTTAAATTAAATATATTATTAGCATTTGTCTGTTTCTTTTTACCTGTTAGTCTGACTCCTAAGGAAATTTTAAATGATGCATACATGGCCTGGGGGTGTGGCTCGGTGGTAGAGCTTGTGTTTAGCACGTTTGAGGCCCTGGGTTCCATCCCCAGCAGCTTGAAAGGACGCACAAATACATCCTATTTGTGGTCCACACTATATTTCTATTTTCCAGCACTGTCTTTGAAGGGGCTAGAAGGTGGCGTATGCTATGTTATGGCTCTAGATGTCCCCCTAAAGCCTCATGCGCTCATAGGTAGGGCTCTGGGAGGTGACTGGATCGTGGGGATGTGATAATCATTAGTGGATTGGTCCACTGTGAGATTATAGCTAAATGTGATGTTGGGAGGTGGAAGTCTGGTTGGAGGAGGTGGGTCACTGGGGGCGTGGCCTGGCAGGGTCTATCTTCCTCCCTCCTCCCTTGATCTCCCTTTCCACTTCTGCTGCCATGCCAGGAGCTGTTTCTCCTCTACCAGGCCCCTATGCTACACCTGTCTGCTTTAGAGCCAGCCAACTATGGACTAAAGCTTCTCATTTAAGTTGCGGGTATCGGGTATTGTGTCCCAGCGATTAGAAGGCAACTAAGACGTGCTCCCCGGGACAGCGTGTGGATTCAGGGTCTGCCACGGGGGTGGGGTGGGGGGCTGGGGCTGCCATGAGGGGAATGCCTGGGAGAGCAGTACTTGCCAGACGGAGCTCCACAAGGGCAGGCCCTGTCCATACTACACAGCCAGAGGTCTGTCCCCGCCACCCACAGCACCTGGTACCCTCATGGCATCTCTCCACAGTCTGCAACAGCACAAAAGTCCCCACCAGCCCAGTATCTAGCCAAACCCTTCTGTGCTCTGCAAGAATAAATGAAGGCCAGTGAGAGAGGCTGTGGTGAGGACACAGACAGGTGCCACCTTCCAGGCAACAGCACAGGAGAAATGCCTTTGTGCAGCAAGAGGGATGGGTAGGGGTGCGTCACCAGCAACCAGAGCTGTGGGGCTCTTTCTGCCACCCAAGGAGCCCAACACACATTCTGCAAATCTAAATTAATCCAGGAGTCAGCCCCCAGCAGTGCCCCCTTCCCACTTCCCGCTGCCTGCCAAAGATGACCACAAAGCCAAAAACAGCCCTCCAGTCTACAGGGACATGGCCTGTTCTTCCTCAACCAACTTGACCCACTGCAAGGGCTCTTGGCCTCTAAGGGGCAATGTCCCCCTCTGCCCATTCCCAGAACACCCCACCTTCCATAGCAAGGCATGAGGGGGATGCAATCCCCGAGAACCAGTGCAGCCAGAATGCAAGGACTCAAGCCCCCAGCACGAGGTGGGTCACCCCATATCCCACAAGCCAGGACCCTTTCCCAGACCTCAGACAATGCCAGGTTCCCCGAGGGAGGAAGGAGAAGGGGCAGAGGAAGTCTGCAGAAGGAGACCAAGAGGAGCTTTGAGATCAGAATTAAATTCTTTAATACAAAATGCTTTTAAGATATAGCTGTATTTCTTTGTTGTTGTTTAAAAATAAATATGTACTACGGAATATCCCGAAAAACTGCACTAGAGACAAAAGATGTGATGTTAATCTTTTCCCCCCACAATTATTACGGATAAACAGTAGCACCAATAAATAAATGATAACAAATATTAAAATTAAAAAAGGAGAGAGATTTAGTATGTAGAATTCTCTATTTTTTCGTTTTGTTTTTACATATAAAAAACAGAATAGCGACGTCTATTTTATCAGAATCACATATATACATAAACACATATATATATATGGATATATATATACACACAAACGCAAGTTGCCAAATATATATATATAGTATGTAGATGGATATTGAAACCTTATTTCAAAGGAATGTGTGGTGGGAGCCAGGGGAATGGGGAAGGCAGAGCTAAGTGTTAGCAAATTAAATATCTGTTCGGGACAAGCCAGTGACTGTCACCAAGCAGGGAGAGAGAGATTGGAAATATGGATTTTATACACAAAAACCAGTACAAATAAGAGAGCAAGTAAGAGGGACAGATACATCTCATAAATAGTTGAAATTAAATATTAACCAAGAATACTGAAAAAAACCCTACTCTTTAATTAAATTAACTGTTTTAATTTCTAATTAAAAAGGGATATTAAATAAGTACCGTATATAAAACACTTTCTCTTTTCTCTGTCTCCGTGGTGGGCATATGGATCCTGCCCGTCTCTCTGTGCCTCAGGAAGGGGAGGGGAGGGGAGGGGAGGGGAGGGATGGGGACAGAAGGGACAACCACTCACACACACACAGCCAGGTCTCCTGGGGGACAGAACTAGTGGTTTCAATAGTCTGAGGACAAGATGCCCTCCTGGGCTGCTCAGGGGGTAAGGAGGGCAGGGAGAGGATGAGGGGGCCCCGGGTGGAGCCATCACCCGGCATTTCTTCTACCAATGTCCCTCTCCTTCACGAGGACACCCATCTGTGCCTCTTGGGTGACGGGAATCAGTTGCACTCAGGTGAAGGCTGTCGGACTCTGACTCTTCCAGGTAGCATGTGGCAGGGATCTGCAAGCCCTCCGTGTCCTGAGGCTTCCAACTCCCGTCTGGAGCCAGTGTTCTCATCCCTGTACCTGTCAGCTGTCTCTCTGTCCGTGTGACTCAGGGTGGAGGCTCAGGGAAGCCAGGGCTGGGTTTGTCGGTGTTTCCAGAAGTGAGCCAAATTTGCCCCCATGCCCTGGCTTTGCATGTTCCCCGGCAGAGGAGAGGACCCTGGCCTCCCTAGAAGGGACAAAGCGATCACACCAAGGTCTCTCACCCCATCCTCTTCCCTGTCATGTTCTGGGAGGGACATTCTCCTCCCAACTCAAGTCCACAGCAGTCAAATACATCCAGTGAAGACACCAATAACATTAGCAAAGTTAATTTAAAAAAAGAATATATATATTTTATATATATAAAATATATATATTTATTTTTATATATATATAATATATATATATATGTATGTATGTATGTATGTATGTGGGTGGGTGGGTGTGTCTACAGGAATCCCAGAAATAAAACTCTCTAATCTTCCGGGCTTGGCGATTTAGCAGCAAGAAAAATAAAAATGACGAATCCAATTCCAAGAGGGACCGTGCTTGGTCACCCGCCCGGGAATGCTTCTGTCGGAGCCTTGCCCTCCGGACCCAAAGTGCTCTGCGCAGTCTCCTCCTCCTTCATTTCAGGTTTCTGGATTAAGGACTGTTCTGTCGATGTAATGGTGTGTGGCGGCGGCGGCGGCGGCGGCGGCGGCGGCGGCGTGGTGAGTCTCAGGTGCTCTGCATCCATCTTCCCTGGTGAGAGGTCTGCTTCCTGAAACCCCAAGGGAGGCTCCTTCCTCCAGCCTGGCTCACCGCCTCGGCTTGTCACATCTAAGGGGACAACGGACAAAGGCTGAGGGTTAAGCCAGCAAAGGAGGCCTAGTAGTGAGGCGAGGAGCCTCCCTAGTAGGGAATCCCGGGTCCCTGCCACACCTAGCACAGCAGGAGCAGAGGATGGGGCGGTCAGTCCTGGGATGGGCACCTAGCCCTGCCCTCATGGAGCCCCTAGTGCAAGCAGCAACCTAGGTGAGACAAGACAAGACAGGGGGATACCTCACGAAGCAATGAATGGACACGTGCCCAATGACAGCCCAGAGGTGACACTGCAAAGCTAATGGGTGACAGTGGAGGAAGTTAACCAGAAAAGGGTTCCTGCAGAGGAAGGGTTTTGGTTCCAGCTCTAGGGACTGGTTCAGGAAGAGAGAAGCAGGGCCAGGAAGATTGGGTGGCCAGCAAACACAGGGCCTCCCTGGGGACGTGAGATCCCCAAGGGAGGGGACCCAAGGGCCTGGGCTCCAGGAGGGTGACAGAGCATCTCTCCTGAGCTGGCTGGCAGCTGCAGGCCAGGCCCCCACTGCCTGTCCTTTCCAAGAGTATTCACCCTAGGCCAGGCAAGGCAGGTCAGTGGCTTTGCTACTCTCACTGGAGCAGAGGAGACATCAGACGTCTTCTCATACCCTTGCCACCAGGGGATGACCTTTTACCCTAATGTGTGGGGTCCCAAGCCCCTAGGCTGGGAAGCTGAAATCCCCAGCAGAGCAAGGTCTCTAGAGTTGGTGACCTCACATGTCCTCTCTTAGAATAACCACCACCAAAACCCTCAAGTGCCAAGTCGCTCATCTCTCCTGGGGCCCCTGGGGAGCTGAGCCCCCGGCGTGAGGCAGAGTCTGCACCCCGGCAGTAGTGCACACTTCCTGCCTCCACACAGCTCCAAGGCAGACAGAACCCACAGCAAAACACGGCCTAGTCCCCACATCCCCTGAACACCCACAAGTCACAGAAACACAGGCCGGGGGCAGGGGAGCAGATCCAGGGGCCTCTGGATTGGCTGGGGTGCCCAATCCCACCTGGGCCACCCCATAAATGCCTCCTCCCTGGGTGAGGCTCCCCCCAAGCAAGGCCACAGTGGCACTAGGAATGCCACCATCACAGCCCTCACCCATGCAATGTTCACAAATGCACTTGGCTCCTCCTTGGTCCCCACATGGATAAAGGACAGAGGTACAGACACTTATGGGTCCCAAAGTAAGCAAGCCAGGCCTGGGCTTCGGAGTCCATAGTGTAACGCTGGGCCCTCCTGTCCCCATCCTGGGGCACCTGGAAACATGCAGGCTGTCAGGGTTGTCACCAGGATTGGGACAGGATGGGGGTTATCTAGGGTTCTCAATGCTAAATGCTTCATGGGTGTAGAATTGTCCATCCTAAACCTAAGACAGAGAGAGCCCTGTGCTCAGGAGCCCTAGTCTGGGGGTAGGGGAGTCCTCCATCCCTGCCCACAGGGAACTCCGGGGCAGAGAAGCGGGCTGTATAAATGGCAGAGGGCACCATGAAGCCATGGGCAGCCCGCACTTGCAGACACCAGCAAGGGCTCTGTTTCTCGGTATCAGAACAGATGAAGGTCAGAGCAGCAGCACCAACAGCCACCACCAGCAGCGGGACCACAGGACACAACACACAGCTTGCGTCCATACCACATGAAGCCACACCACATGAACCCTAACCAGCCACCCCACACAGGCAGCCAGGGCGACCTCGGAGCAGGCCCACCAGGCCAGGCCAGCCCCAACATCCCTGGGGCCTGGCGGGCAGAGAAGGGGGCAGTGGCCAGGCAGGCAGAAGCAGCCAGGCAAGCAACTGGCAGACGCACGCACACGCGCACGCGTGATCTCTCTCTCCCTCCAGCGCCCTTCTCTGACTCACTACCCACCCTCTGGGGACCAACCTGCAGGTACGTTCGTTTAACTCAAGCTGCCTCGCCTTGCAACGCGAGTGTGTGTTTCTGCAGGAGCATTTACACGTCTGCGGATCTTGTACAAACAAATGCTTTCTCCGCTCTGAGCAAGGCCCACAGGGACTGCAAAAAGGCAAAAGGAAAGACATCTAAGCTAGAGCATCAGCAGAGAGAGAGAAAAACCCATGCAACACCCTTGACGCATGGCAGCAGCCCCCCAGCTGGCACGTGGCCTCCATGTCCTTCCACGCCCTGGAAGGAGTAGAGCGCAGCAGAAGACAGAGAGCAAGGAGAGAGGCGGCACTGGCTAAGATGCCGGCTCAGGAAGAGCAGGGCACAAGTGGACAGAGCGCGCAGGGAGAGGGCGGCCATGCGGGACGCATCTCAGGCCACAGGGCCCCAACTGCTGCCATCCCCAAAGGGGCACATCTTGATTCTTCTGCCTCTATTGGGGGCAGCAATCGAGGGCCCACAAGATCACCCAGGACACCTTCATCCCAGCCAAGGCTTGTGCCCTGGCCCCCCCCAGCAAAGGCAGGGTGAGAGGTCCAGATACCCCGTGCACTCCCATAGTGGGACCACAGGGACGCCCTAGGGAGACTCCAATGAGGTTCGAGCTACAGTGAGGTTCCCCTCCAAAGGCCCCAAGTCCATGAGGAGCCAAGGCATTTCTACCAGACGAGAAGGGGCTGTGGCACGGGGCTTGATGCACCCAAGTTCCTCCTTCAGCCCACAACAAGCCACCTCCCAACGTGGCGCCCCTTCCTCTCAGTGTCCCTGCCCCACTCACTCAGCTTCCAGACATGTGCAGAAGCTCAGTGGTGGAAACCAGCTGGATGTGCAGGCCCCGGTGCCCAGCACCAGTGCCAACACAGGCCCACTGCCACCAGCACCCAGTGGGTGAGAGAAAGCCTGTGTGTGCCCAGCCAAGCCAGAGTCCCCTCCCTGAATCCTCAGGCCCACGCGGCCCACCCATCTACCCCAGCCCCAGGCCCACAGCGCCACCACCAGTTTACCCACTAGTGCCCATTAGTGTGGTGAGAGAGAGAGAGAGACACTGGGCAAGGAGGGTGGAGGAGCCAGGAAGGGGCCGAGGGAGGGACGTAGGGTGATGGGAAAGGATGCAGGGAGGCTCCGGGGATTAGCAGCGGCCCCAGTGCACACGCCTTGGGATTTATACCGGGATTTCTTGCGCTTTCGTTTTTGCCCCTTTCCCTTTCCTCGAACTGATTTTCTGGAAAATAAAAAGAGACAGACAGAGAGAGCACGAGACTGGGAGAAGGGACAGGAAGGGGGTACAATGGAGACAAAGCCTGACTGAAGACATGAGTGGCACACTGTGGAGCGGCCGGCCATACAGCCCACAGCAAGGCCTGGGGTAGGCAGTGAGACTGTGGAGGCCCAGGGGCTCCATCTCCTATCACACCTGCTCCCAGCAACCCTGTCCCAGTCTGACCCTGAGGATCAAGGCCTATAAAAGGATGGAGAGCAGGTGGGAGGTACATTTCCAAGTGTAACAGAAAGGGGTCCCTCCAGAGGGGCAGCTACCTTGGAAGCTGGCCCCAAATCTACCCCAGGGGGGTGGGGCTAGGCTCATCTCAGCAGGCAGGGGCAGCAGGGTCAAGGGACCACAGGGCTGGGGGCTGGCAGTGCTTGCCAGGGAACCTGTACCATCTCTGCAGATCTCAAGCCCAGGTGAGCCCTGCTTCTCTCCGCCATGGGCAAAGCAGGCATTTGAGGAATGAGCAAGGAGACAGGCTCAAGGAAGCAGAACTGTCCAGGAAAACACACCTCAGCATGTCTGCCTGCCCAGGGGAAGAAGACAGGGGGAGAGGGGACAGGGGACAGGACAGCATGCTGGGAGGACAGAGGAGGGTTTCTCTGTGTCTGTCTCTCTCTCTCAACCTATCCTCCTACATCACTGCTCTGGAAGCCACTGCAATCCTGGAAGCTGGGAGTTTATGAAGAGCCAGAGGCTGAAGCTGGGGCACTTGGAGTTCCAGAGCGGCAGGGCAGACAGGTCAAGGAAGGCAGGCCTCGGTGCTGTCTCTCTCTCTCTCTCTCTCTCTCTGTCTCTTGTTCCCTGGACTTGGCCCCCATCGATGCCAGCTACCCACCAGTGCTGGAGGCTATTGCTCCCAGAATCAGTTCCCCAAGCCATCCTGCCCCACAGTGAGCAGGAGAAACCCTCAGAAAGTGGCCAACAAGGCACCCTCCTCACCCCCTCCTGGCCAAGGGGGCTGAGCCTGCTGCCCACCCCATGCCCCACAGAAGGGCACGTACCAAGAACCCCTAAACTGCGCCACTAAAGCTGCCTCCGAAAGAGGTCACTTCCTCTGACACACAAACACGGGCCTTTCTGCCACCTGCTCCCTCTGCCCACTGTGGGTTCCCTACAGCAAACCAGTATCACACTGTCCCCCGAAACAGCAAGGGCGGCCAGGAGTGCCCTGCTGACCAGAAGGCACTGACCCTTCCAGAAGGCACATCAGGCTCCAGACAAGGTTGTCTCACCAACCCGACAGCAGTTAAGCCCAGAGCTGGCTACAACCAGCTTCTACCACACATCCCTGGGAGACCAGCACCCCGACTCTATGAGGCCATCAGAGACCCTGAGAGAGCAGGCCAAAGCCCTGAACCAGGAGGACCGCCAAGAAGAGAAGGCTGAAGTCGTGGCCACTTACTTTTCTTGCCTTGCTCTTTCTCTCTTTGGTCTGCAATGGGTAGAGAAGGAGAGAAAAATAAAACAAGGATTAAGACGGTGATGGCAGTGACAAGGATAATACTACTAAAGGTGAACATCGAACACAGCGTACATGACATAGCAAAACATTTTTAACATTTTTATATGTTGTAATAGCTCATCTAACCCGTCTAGCAATGCTGGGGTGCATTCAGTCATGCCCAATCAACAGATACAGAAACTGAGGCCCACTAAAGGCCCACAGTCACCAAGGTAGGAGGTGACAGTAGCACCGAGCCCAGCCCGTCCTCACCTGCATTCACATCTGCTGTGCTGGAGGAAACTCATCTCCCCAATGTGCTGCCCTTGGTGGGGTTTGATCCGCATGATCTGCAGGAAGGAAGCAAATCAGAGGTCAGTGACCCAGCCAGCCATACCCATATGGGACACCCAGGGCTCCTGCCACTCAGTGCCCAGGGGTTCTAAGAGCAGGGATGGGTGGTGGAGGCCGGGGACCAGGGCTCTAGCAGGAGAGAGCCACAGGCCACCAGGCTCCCCCAACCCTGCTGGCCTCAAGGAGCCCCTGCTCCTCTTGAGGGAGACATGGCTGCAAGGGTTGGCCAGGCTGGGAATTCGGGTCGTGGTTCTTACCATCCCCTCCCCTTCCCGAGAGCCGCCCACCCCATCTCAGAACTCCTTCCCACTCTCACCCTGCCTGGACCACGATGCACAATACACCTGTCACCAGAGAGCACCCAAACACTGGCTTTTGACTCTTCGCAGGCCAGGCCCCTCCAGCTTCCCAAATATAGGCCCCCCACCCCTCCCCCCACCAATGGAGGCCTTAGGATCTCTCCAGAGAGGAGGAGAGGGGCCTTTGCGTCAGGATCAAGCCCCTCCTGAACTGGAGGGCAAAGGTCAGGGAGGAGGAGGGGTGCCTGGGCTTGATGGGAAATGCGGGTATCTTCTTTCCAAAGCAGCTAAGACCCCCACACATCTCTCCACCCTAGCCCAGCGTGGGGCAGGGGCTGGGCAGGGCAAGTCGAGCTCCTCCTACCCAGAGTGCCCCGGGAAAGGACCTGGTCCCCTGCTCCAAAGTCTAAGCCCCTCCCTGTGGCCCTGGCCCCACCCCTACAGGGACCCACCTGCATGGTGATGTTGAACTCCTCAGTGGGCACACACTCCAGACTCTCATCATTACAGCAGCCCCCACACCGCATCAGGGGCACACAGGATGGCTTGAAGATGTACTCGATCTCATCAGGGTACTCCTGGAAGATGTCCACCAGCGTCTCGATCGGACGGCAGTAGCTACGCTTGTAGACATCCATGAACTTCACCACTACAGGGAGGGGGTGATACATGAGCCCAGGGCATGACAAGAAAGGTGGCCAGGCCCTATCTCCACAGATCACAGGAGCTGTCAAGACCCAGGGGAAATGGCCTGTCACATCTGATCCCTGACTCCCCGTGACAGCCCAGTGAATTCAGTGAGTATGGGTGCACCTGTTGGGGGCGCTCTAAGGTTCATGTGCAGGGAAGGACAGCCACCTTTGTCAGCCTGATCCCTGCTTTCCTACAAGCTCCCCACAGCCTTAACACCAATCAGGCCAGCAACTGTTTATTGAGCACTTACTATAACCAACACTGTACAGCAGTACACAGGGATCATCTCCATGATCTTCCACCCATGAATGCTACCCAACGGCACTGGGACCTCATTCTACAATGGGGGCTGGAGGCGCAGAGAGGTCCCACTGCTTGTAAGCAGCAGAGCTGGAAAGAGCTCTGATGCCCAAGCCTATGCCATGCACGGGACTCAGAAGGCACTTTGCCCCAGCCAGTCCCTCTCCCCAGACAAGGGCTGAGAAGGTATCAGCAGGTGGCAGTGGTCAGGCTCAAGGTGCAGGCCCTGCCAGCAATGGATAACCCTGCCCAAGAGGGCAAACCGCTTGCATCATGGAAAAAACAGTGCTGCGCGGCTGCCGCAGAGCATTTCTAGAAGCTGATCTGGAGGGAGACCAAGGAGAAGACAGTTTCCCAGGCTGATCACAGTGCCTGAGGTGCACCCGAGCATGAAGGGGTAATTCTGGGCCACTGGGGTGGGGCCCTGAGAATAAGTACACATAGGACTCCAGCAGGACTACAGTAGCGTTTGTGGCCCAGCCGCCACTCCCCAGCACATCCCACCAGCACCACCACTCCATCGCCAGCCTGTCCCTGACATGAATGAAGAAATGATCCAGCCAGCAGGGAGGCTCAGGCTCCAGCCTCAACTCTGTGTGACCTTGGGCCAGTCCCACCTCTCTCTGGGCTTCTGCTCATCTGAGTGAGTGGACTGGTCTGATCTTTAAAAAGACACAGGAACAGAGGCTGAAACATGGAGGTTTCTCTCCTGTTTCCAGCCCTGAGAATAACTGGTCTCTTCTCATTCTGGGTGACACAGTATGGAACTTCACCGAGGCATCTTAAGTACCCACCCCTAGAATACTGCCCCCCACCCACATCCCCCTTGCTCTGCTTCCCAAAGGGGAAGGAAGATGAGATCGAGGGATGCATGTACAATAGGCTGGGTGGGGACGACCTAGAGTTGAGGAGGAGGTGGTGAGAAGGCCAAGTATGAAAACAGAAAGGAGAACAAGAGGAGGGGCCCAAGCCAGACTCCCACTTACCCAAGGGCTCTACTTCTGTACAGCTCATAGGCACAAAATGCTTCCCTAACCTCAACAGGTTAAGGTAAAGCATAAAGAAGAATAATTGGGAGCCAGGGATTTAGCTCAGTGGTTCTGCCACCTGCTTTGCAAGTGCAATGTCCCGAGTTCAATCCCTGGTACCGAAGAAGAAGAAGAAGAAGGAGAAGAAGAATTATTATTGGACCAGAGATGAGAGAAAAAGGTTTTTAATGCCAAGTCTATACTAAACAAGATGACTGATGCAGAACTTTTGAACTGACACCTTGCCATGGCTGGGACAGAGGTGGTCCAGGGTTGGGGCTCCACCCAAGAAGGGACAGCAGAGACCTGACCTGGGCGACAGGACAAAAGGGACAAAACTCTCAGAATCTGCAAGGCCAGATGGGGAGGGGTCGACCCCACCAGGACCCCGCCCAGCCTGGCCTGGAAAGACACCATCCTCCTTTCCACAGGGTGCATGTACACACACTCCAACACCGGGCTTCCATGGTTTTCCTTATTTATGGCAGACAGGCTTTTCTCCAGCAAACAAAGACCATTTGTCTTGCCTCTCCCAGACCACAAAGACCACTGGGAGCAGGGGCCCTGTCAGTGGCACTGGCCAGGGAGTGGCAGCAGGCCAGGCCCTGGGCCAAGTGAGGGCTCCAGGGGTGGGGAAGTAGGCAGAACCAGCCAGCTACTTTGGGCACACTGGATATGGGTCCGGGAAAGTGGGCCTGACAAAGACCCCCAGGGCCACCCCCTCCTCAGAGGGGAACAGGGGGAGTGGCCTGGGGCTGGAGCAGAGGCCACACTCAATGGTGGGCAGAGTCAGGGTGTCCCCAGAGAAATGGGAGGATCTCCAAGCTCCAAACCACATCGGAACAAAAGGCAGGCAACTTCAGGGTTGGGCAGGGGGCGGGGCGCCTGGGAGCTACAGCCAGCCCTCTGCTGGCCCGAGAAGGAAGTTCACAGCACCCAAAGCCAACCACCAGGGCTTTCTCCACCCCCAAAGGGACGCAAGCTGCAGTGGAGGTGGGAGTTCCCATCAGTAGCACTGAACATCCTTCTCCCCTGGGAACAGGGGTACAAGGGACATTTGCCTTCACACCTGGAGTCCCCGAGGACTGCCTATCTATACTCACAACTCCTGCTCCAAATAAAATGTTACTAGAAACAGGAGAAAAAAAGCAACAAGTCCTATTTCTAGCAGAGACTGCAACAGAGATGAGACTTCAGGAAAAGGAAAGATTAAGCTCATGGTGCCCACCCCTCTTTCTGGCTTGAACCTCATCTTCCTGTACCCCACCCCCCACAGGTCTGCAAAAGAGAAATTGGGCCCTGGGGTAAGAGGGGACCCTATCCAAGAGCCAGGGACTCACCTTCACGGGGATTCTGCTCTCCTTCCACCATGGGTGCCGCCTGGGACCACTAGGAACAAAACAAAGAGCAAGGCGTTGGCATGGCATGGGTACAGGCATGGGCAGGGACGCAAGGCTCAGCTACTGCCCCTCCTCCCTCAGTGCTGCCCTCTCAGCCACAGCCTCTGCCTTCTCCAAGGTACTTGAGTGGAATAGGGACCAGCAAGGGGTCCCTGCAGGCTTCAAGCATGCCCACCACCCCAGACGGCTCCAACCCTGAACCCAGAGAAGTTAAAGACTAACCAGACATGGGGGGAGCTCACAATGCAGGAGCCAAAGAGCAGAATGCTTCGCTGTCTCAATCCCGATCCGCATCCCCTCCCCATATTGCCCTCTCCTCACTCTCGCTAGCCCCTTGGTTCCCTGGTCCAAAGCTATGGGTAAGTATTAAGGTCAAATAGGAGGACAAATTTGGACTGGGGCAGGAAGGAAGGACTGGGGGCGAGAAAAACAACATGGTGACCTTCTCCTGCTGACATGACAAATACCAGGGTGAGCTAGTGTTGGGGGGGGGTGTGCAGAGGACCGAAGGGCACCCGCCACCCTCCCCCAGCAGTGCTCTTCAGTCCCAAGAACACTCCGTGTCCCTACAGGCTGCTTAGAGGGTGGAGAGCCTGGAAGAGGCCCTACTTCACCCTGCGCTCTTCTCCCAGTAGTTGAGGCGTGTTTCCAAAGCCTCCCTAGCTGTCCACTCCCACCTTGTCCCCTCTCCCCTCTCCCCTGGGCTCCTTCCCTAAACGCAACCAGGGAAGCCTTTCCTTCCACAGAATGCCCAGCTCCCAGGAGGGCCTGCCCCCGCCCCTCCCTGAGAAGTTGTGAAGGTCAAGGAGCCAGCCCTGCGGACCCGAGAGCAGCAAGCAAAGGTTTCTAGCCCTTCCTGAAGGTCCCAGTTGCCCCCAACCCCCACCCCCACCTGCTCCTCTTGATGGATCTCCAGATACCCTGGGAAAGGGCCCACTATGTCTGCTCTCCCCTTCCCACAGACCCTCAGTGGACCCCAGGCCAGGCCCCCAGCCTTGCCCCAGGGCCAAGGTCGGAGGAAGCCCCTCTCTAGGGAAGACGGCTTTTCACAGGCTCCCAGCTGAACCGCGCCCCCATGGCAGGCCCCTCAGAGACCCCTGGTTCTGAACCCCAGCCCTCACCTATTCCCACAACACCCCCAACATTCTCCCTACACCCCCCTCACTTCAATGAGGAAGGGGAGCAGAAACTTCAGACCCCTCCAAGGCCAGGGGGCACAGGAAAGGCGGTGTTGGGCAGGGAGGGGCCAGGTGCCCTTCTCTGGGGGCCTCTGAAGGTCACACTGTGACCAGGCAGCCACTCCTCCCCTCCTCCCCACTTGGAGGCCTGGAGCCAAGGCCTTTGTGCCAGGGTCTGAGGAACTCTGGGTGGTGGCAGGGACCCCTGCCCACCCTTCCTTCTGCCTCCTCTCTAAGGGGACTCTGGCTGAAGGAAGCTGGAAGGGAGGAGCTGAAGAAGACCCCTTAGGTGGCTTTGAGAAGCAAGTTGGTGAGCAAGTTTGCAGTCCCAAAAAACCACCTGCGCCAGCGCTGGGTTTTGCTAGGACAAAGTGTGCGTGCACAGCTAGGGGAGGCCAGGCAAAGGTAGAGGAGGACGAGCCCGAGCTGCCTGGGTCACAGCAGGTTCCTCCAACACCAAAAGGATAAAGTGGGGTGATGGCACTTGGAGCCTCCCCTTGCCCACCCCCATAAAAGCAGCAGCATAGCTCACTCCCAACTGCTGGGTAGGAGGAAGGCACAGGTCGACAACACGGGGCTTTAGGTAGAGTTAGCACAAAGCACGGAGTAGGCTCTGGCACCCCCAACTTCTGACAGTTACCATCCTCTGCCCGACTCTGGGCCAGAGAGGGTCAGACAGGTCCTCTCAAAACCGAGAAGCAAAAACTACCAGGATGGCAAGCCTTTCCTCCACGCAAAGGAGAAAACTGGGGAAAGGAGGAAGGGGCTCAAGAGGTTCCTGGCAGCACAGGGCAGCAGCCGGGGCTGGGGATGACAGAGGGGGCAGAGATGGCTCCCCAGGTCCCAGGCTGGGGCTCCCTCGAGAGGTCACCTTCCTGCGGAGAGACGGCGGGGGAGGGGCGCCACCCGCCGCCCCGAGCTCCCCGCTCCTCCGCGGACGCGGCTCGGGAACACGAGGCCGGCCAGGCCCGGGCTGATGTAATCGGCCCCGCGCCGCGCGCACCCGGCCGGGCGGGGGAGGGCGGACACCGCGCGGGTCTCGAGCTGGGACAGGAGGGGGCGGCGCGGCGCTGGTGGCCCGGCCGGCGGGGGGTCCCCGCCGCGATCCATTCTGAAACTTTTCCCAAACTCGCGGTGAGAGCCTCAGAGACCAAGGCGGTGACAGCGCACCCCCCCCGCCCGCGCCCTGCCCCCTCCGCGTGTACCGCCCTCCCAGGTCCCAGGTCCCAGGTCCAAGGTCCGGGCACCCCTGGCCCACAGGCTCCGACCCCCGCCCCGCCGCCCGAACTCCCACCTAGGGGACCCGCGGCCGGGCGCAAACTTCAGCCGCCCGGGCCCGCCAGCCCAGCCCCCTCGCCGCCTCCCGGGCTCTCACCCTACCCGGGCGGCCGGGATCGTACGTGAGGCGACTCCGGTGGGTGGGCAGGGCCCGGGTGGGCGGCGAGACTCGGCCCCCTCCCACCCACCGCGCGCCCCCTCCCCCTACACGCACAGCGACCACCGGGGACGCCGCGCGCCCGGCGCCAGGGACCCGCGTGGAGCGCGAAGCCTCCACGCGCGCGTGCGCGCTCCCACACCCCCAGCCAGGAGAGGGCCTGGCGGGCACTGCCGCTTACCTTGGCATGGTGGAGGTAGAGCAGCAAGGCCAGGCTCCAGTGCACCCAGGAGAGCAAAAAGTTCATGGTGTCGGAGGCCCGGCCGGGGCCGGCGCGGCGCGCGCTCGCTTTGCGGCTCGGGCTGCGGGACGGCCCGCTCTCCTGCGCGCCTCGGCGGGATCCTCTTCCTGCCGGGGCCTGGGGCGCGCGCGCGGCCGGGGCACTGTTTGCGCACTCGGCCGCCTCACCCGTCCATGGGCCCGGCCCCTGAGAGCCGAGCGCCCGCCGCGGCCCCCGCTCCGCCTCCGCCGCCTCTTCGCCTTCCGCCTCCCCCTGCTCCGGTGGCGGCTCTTCGCGGCCCGTGCTCGCCCTCTCGCCGGCTGCGCTCAGGTCGGTGGCCCCGGCGCGGACCACGGCTCCTCCGGGGCGAGAGCCGCCCAGAAGTTGCGCGAAAAGTTTCAGCGCAGTGCCGCGCGCCCCGACCCCCTCCACGCCGCCTCCGCGTGCGGGCTCCGAGGGGCAGACGGTGGGCGCCGGGCCAGGCGCGGTGTCGGCCTGTCCGTCTGTGGGCGGGCGGTCCCGGGGAGTCCCGCGAGGAGGGCGCCCCGCACGCTGCGCTCGGCGGTCACCCGAAAGCAGGTCACTGGCTGCGCCCCGTGCCCCGCGCTTCTCGCTGAGGCCGCGGCGCGCGCTCGCTCTTCCTCGACTTCTCTCCGGGGCTCTCGCCGCCTCTCTCTCCTCTCGGCTGCTTTCCAAAATCCGAAGTAATTTGGAGCAAAGGAGCGATCTCCCCAAAGCGTCGGCCCGATTTCAAGCGGGGAATAGAGGGCAAAAAATAAATTAAAATGGGAAACAATAGTGGTGGGGGTTTTTTTATGTTTAAGGGGAAAAAGGAGAGGGGTTAAACCCCCGGGGGAAAAGAACGAAGCTCAGATCCCAGCGCGGAGGCCCCGGCCGTTAAGTCCGCTGGCCCTTCTGCCGCGCCGCTGCGTCTGCCCCGAGCTCCGCCGCCGCCGGCTCAGTGCCCAGCGCGCGGCCTCCTCGCAGCCCGGCTGCCCCAAGCCTCTGCGCTCCTGCCTCCGCCAGCCGACTGAAAAAGGAGCTAGCCTCGCCCATTCCTCAGGCCACGCCCCGGGGCTGGGCCGCCGGAGCCTCTCCCCCTCCCCGCTGACACCGCCTTCCCCACCCACCCCCACCCCCGGGACACGCGGCGAAGTCTGGGCCCCGAGCCTATTGCGACGAAGGGGAAGCGCGCCCCCCACTAGGGTTCGCGCCCGAGACTCGCTCATGCGCCCCCTGAAACGCTGCCCAGAGACACGCACGCCCGTGGGGTGGGTACAGGAAAGCGGGGTTAAGTGCGGACAGGGCCTGAGCGCGGTTCCCGCTTTGCTGGAAATATTGGAGGGGGCGGGGAGAGGGACGCGAATCTGTTGGAATCCTGGAGTGACCCTTGGCCTCTCCCCCTGCACACACACACACACGCACACGCAAACGCACGCACACGCGTCCTTGCTCACGCAGCCGCGGCTCGCCCAAGTTCACGAGCTCCCAGTGGTGGCTGAGCGCCCCCTAGTGACCACCGTCTGCACACCTCGTGGGCTCCAAGAGGGACCCGACTTGGGAAGGGGGTAGGCGCTGTGCGCTTCCCAAGCCCCCATCTCTGACCCCCTAAATGGATGGTCTCTTGGGTAGGAGCCCAGTGCTGCGTGCAGGGGGGCACCATGTGCTTATCTGGAGCCCTTATCTGGCCTGCAGAGACGGGAGGAGCTGGAGCCTGGGGTGAATGGGGTCTTTAGGAGCTGTCCAGGAAGGCTTCCCTGGGGAGGAGAATTTGGCAACGACTTTGTGGCGCTGAGAACGGGAAGCTGTGTAGTTCTGGGGTTAGTCAGCGACTCGGGGGAAAGAGGACCTGTTGGAGCCCACGTATGCACTGCGGAGTCTGGCAGGGCCCCGGGCAGAGGCAGCTGGGCAGACAGAGGCCCTTGTTCCTGCTCGCCATCCTCCCCACAAATGTTGCCAGGGAGCCGAAGCCAGGGGGCTGGTGGGGGCGGAGGGAGGCCAGGGCTGGAGTAATGATTCAAAGCTACCCCCATCACTCAGGAACGTCCGCAGGCCGGCTGCCCAGAGCTCCCACCAGGCAGGGCGCCAGGACCAATGCTCCCCAGCCCTGGCTCAGCGCATCTTCTGAACAGAACTGGGGGGGTCTCTTCAGCCAGCCCCACCCCCACCCCCGTGCCTTCAGGAGCCCTTGCTCCTCCTCCAGGTTTGCACTCCTTTCCCTGTCCCCTCCCTTACCTCCAAGCTCCCTTCTCTGACATCCCATGTCTTTCCTAAGTGCTCCCCAGGGCCCCCCCCACCCTTGGATGTAGGACCTAGCCTGGGAAAATTCCTGGTTGGGCTTTGGCCCAGCTGTTCCTATGCTCCCCCAGGGAACAGGGTGTGTGGGGGGGTACCTGGGGTAAGAGAGGGACCAACCAGTGACATTGCCCATACAGATCTGGCCGCGCCAACCTGGGGCTCAGGTAGGTCGGGCTAGACAGAGACAGCAGCAATTTCCCTGCTCCCCTAAAATGGTCTGGGAGGTCACTCAGCTGCCCCCCTCTGTACATAGTGCTGTGGCTTGTGGGGGTGCTAGGTGACCTCCAGGGCAACCCAATTCCACTGGTGAGGTGTCCAGAAGGCCCTGTGAGGAAAGGGGCGGCTTCCAGCACTCTATCCCAAACTTCCCATCCCTGTACTCCAGCCCCGTCTCCACCCTTGCTTGGCAGGCTCTCTAGCAGCAGGGACAAGGTCTTGATAGTTAGTAAATCCTTATTCGCTGGCCCAGCCCCCCTTCCCTGCCAGCCTCCTCACTTAGGTCCCTGCTCAAGCTGACAAGTGGGCTACGGAAGAGACTCCCATAAACTTTCTCCTCCTCTGCCTCCAGCACCCAGAACTCCTCCTGCATCCCTATTTGGGGCAGGACAGAAGCTCCAGGCACTGGGGCTCACTCCTGCTCCTGCCTTGCATCCCTCTCATTCCATCTTTTGTCCAGCCTAGAGAAGAAATGGCCTAAAGAAGAGGTATCAGGACAGAACCCCAGAGATGCGAGGGGGCATCATCCACGGTCATGTCGCAGCCCCAGCACCGCTGGCTCAGCCCCTGTGCCCACAGCAAGGTGTTCCAACAAGCCACTTGCAGCTCCCTCTGTGGGCTGTGTCGGGAAACCAGGGCAATGACGGTGCAGAATTCCCCTGAGAACCAGCGAGGATTGCAACCTGGCCTAAGGGCTTTGAGCAGCCTGCTCTAGGGTGGGGACTGAGCTCCCACTTCCACCCTGCCCTCCAGAGACATGGCCTGGAGGTGAATCAGAAGAGGGGTCAACTCTGGATTCCATGGCCTATGGTGTCACCGGCTTCCACAAGACACTTGCATGGACCCAGCAATGGTCATACCGTCACCAAATTAAAACCTTGAGTTCCCTGGTGTTTAAAAAATAGAGAAAAAGAAGCAAAACCACAGTCCTAAGACCTCATGGTGTGTCCTCAAGCATCCTCCGTGTCCAGGACTCAGTTTCCTGGAACAAGCTTCCTGCCACTCATCTTTTGTCCCTGTGTCACTGCAGGGCAGGGCCCATCGGGGCAAGCTGTCTCCAGAGAGAATCCTGCAATCCCCAGAGGGGGCACAAAGGGTTACCCCTAAACCGGGAGAAGGTGGAGCTGAGAGCCCCCCCGGCAGAGGTCTTGCTGGGTTCCCATCTCTGGGCTTGGGGGGGCCACAGCCAGTGGCTCTGGAGGAGCTCAGAAGGTGCCAAGGAAAAAGGAGCAAGTGTCCCAGGTGAGGGGGAAGGGGACAAGGACCGGGTAGGGGTGGAGAGGAGTCTGAAAGGCCCCCAGGAGCAAGCAGTAGTCCCAGCAAAGGAAGTAGTGATCGGGCCCAAGGCACAACAGTTGTACTTTGTCCTGACATCCAGTCACCTCCCCTGTCACCTCCGGTGTTCAGGGAAGCTCCCACCTGTGTGGGTCCAGGCAGTTCATCTAGAAGCCACAGATGAACGGAGAGACCCTCCTGAGGAGGGAAGGAGGACAAGGAGGAAGTGGCCGGGCCTGGCTGTCATCCACACATTGTCCCAAGTGGGTCACCATGATGGAGGGAAGTCCCCTTTCACTCCATCTCCTGAGCCTCCGGTGCCCAGCAGGGCACTGACCTGCAGGAAGGGCAGTGACACCCAGCTGCTGAGTGGAAGGAATTCCCTGCCTGTCTCTGACCACGGAACCGCCCTATCCCACTCACCACTAAGTGTTCCTCTGTCACCAGATCTTTGCAACAAAGCAATAGGAGAGCTGGGGAGAGGCTCTCCCTCCAGTGCCAATGTCGTAGCCGCCCATGGATTTGGAGATTTGACTGGGGACCAGGAGAGGCCGGTATGGTCAGTTGGGAAAAAGATTGGAGCAGAGGTTCCAGTACAGAAAGGGGAGGAGAAGTCAGCAAGAAGGGGAACAGAGCGCACCCTTCTGTGGGGAGCACAGCCCATGGACCAAGTCTCTGCCCCAACTTTACAGGCCCCCAGTCAGTCCCTTGGCACTAGGCTATCCCCCATAGATGGCTTCTCCCCAGCTGCCCCAACCACGCCTGCTCCTGACACCCCAGTCTTTGCTACGGTCCAAAGCCTGACCCCCATTATGCCCATGGCTTCCCCGGCCACACCTCCCACCCCATCAGCCTGGGCAGAACTCGATGGCATGTGGTGGCTGTGGGAAGCTGTGTCCCCCCGCCCGACCTCAGAGCTCCCCCAGGTCTCCCAGGCAGCAGGCTCTGGCTGGTGTGGCAGGGACACTAAGGAGGACAGTGCAAAGTGTAGGAGCTTTGGGGCCAAGTATGCCCAAGGGCATCCCTGGCTCTGCCCCTCTGTGTGGCTGTCTGCGCCATCGGTGACCTGGTCCATAAAACAGGGGTGAAAATACCTGCTTGGAAACCTGCATGCACAGCTCCTCCAGACTTCCTCCCAAACAGCCCAGCCAGAGCCCTGGGGAAAATGCTGCTCCCACAGGGGCGAGCCCCTGGCCGAGCACTCGCTGGCCTCAGGAGGGGCCTCCGGTGGCACAAGCAATTATTAAACCTAGATCTCAAGCCCTGCTTTGGGCTGGGATCTGGGTTGACACCTGTGTCCCCCTCCTGTCTGCAGGGGACTAGAAGAGTGAACTGAAACGAGGAATTTTCTGACAGGGGACACAGAACTGCTGAGATGGCCAAGGGCTTCCAGGAGGAGGTGTCGGGTGAGTGAGAACAAGTTTCAGTCAACTTCCTGTGGAGTGGGGACAGGGGACAGGCGGGGCTCCTGCAGGATCCTGCCTCTCATAGTGACCCTCCTGGTGCCTCTGAATGAGGCAGGGGATTAGGACTTCCTCAGAAATCTTCCCAGCAGAGTCTGGGGGGACAATGCTGTTTCCTCAGGCGGTGAGCCCCAAGCTGCCTGCCCTACCCCCTGGAACAGCAAGTCTCTGCCTCAGAATTTAAACAAACAAGCCGACTGGAAACAGGTCCAGCTATACCTTCAGCACCACTGTTGTTTGCCCCAGGAGTGCGCAAGGGTAGGACAGAGGACGCCAGCATGTGTGTGACAGCACAAGGCCACTCAGCAGAAGTTACTCCTTCCCTATTCTTACCTGGTACCCAGAGCTTCCTGCCTGCCTGTCAAAGACATGGGTGGAAAACTAAGAAGAGCACTGAACAAAAAGTCCAGGGCAGCTGTGTGCTGTGTGGCTCCTCAGTCCCTCTCTGCACCTTCCTTCTCCTATTATAGTTCAAGGTTCCTAAGCTCCGAGGCTCTG